TAAAACAGGCCAAACAGGTCTGATAAAACGGGTCAGGTCGAAATTGTCATCCCTAGTCACATGTACTGCTTAAGTACAGCGAACGTTGCATGCACACTAACCATTAACCATTTAGTTGCAACGGGTGTGTTTGGATAGAATGATTTGGATTTGATTTTGGTATTTGTAATTTTTATTTCTAAATATCAAATCATATGTTTGGATATTAATTATATTTAGTAACTGAATTTGTGCCAAATTCATGGGGTGATTTGCAAATACATGTCTAGTGTAGTACTTGTCAACCTCAAATATATTTCAACAACTAGTGATTTGAAATACCTCCTAACAAAAGATTGGACCTATTTGTAAAATATTTAAAGTTCAGGAATTATAGTGTAAGGAAAAACATATAAAGGTACCAAACTGTAATTTTACCATCAAAATTTCTGGAACTTTTTGCAAAAATTTATAACATATTAAGCTCAAACCAACATGTTGTTGGGACTTTTAGGATGAAGTTCTATGCCCCTGAGATCGGGTGACCAGGATTGTGATATAGTTGTGAACAACGTTCACTTTTTATAAATAATATTTTCACCTTCTACAAAACCTTGAGTTACAGAAATTTTCTTCGTAGGATAAAACTATCACCACTTTAGAATCCAAACTTAAGAACTTAAAGTAATCTTAATAGTTTAGTTTAGTAGGAAGAAAAATGAATTTTGGGTATTTTTTATCCCATCCGACCACCTCTATTTATAGGGATGGAGTTGGCTTAATTGCTTCTTGACCGAAGCAATGCGTTGCTTCATGAAAAGAAGTAACTGTGGATCCAACTAATTAAAAATTTCATCGGAACTTCAACCGACATGCAATTGAACATTGCATCACGTTGTCCATTTCAAATGAAATGCATGGCAACTTCAAAATCCCTTCATCCAAAAAGGGACGTCCAGGTGGTGATGGTGATGACGTGTCCTTCATCCTATACATTAACTGATGACGGTTAAATGCATGAATCGTTGCCATGGTAAATGACACATTATTCTTTTTGTTTCAAATAATGTGTTCTTTCATGCAAATGGACGCCACTCATGGCAGAGGCATACCATAACCGGATAAATTATTCTGGTCAGTCCAACTCAAATCACTTGGTTCGTTCACCAATTTAACCGAATTGTATTGTTGAATTTCCAACACATCCAACATCTCATGATTATGGGAAATTGTAATTCATCCTCTAACCTATACACTCATCATCTACTACCGATTACCTAAGGAAGGTCTTTGGACGGAAACACAGCCAATCAACTAAACCACTCTTCCTCATCTTTGTCTTCTTCAACTGAGGGATTGGCACCAATGATCGATAAAATTTGAATTTCATTTGTTCTTTTTTTTGTTAACTGTCAAATATTTCCCCCCGTTTGATCTGTTACTTAATTCGACAGCACAAAACAACATAATCGAAGAAATATATATGAGAAGGATGAGCATCAAAAAATGTAAGGGCAAGTCATATTTCACATCTATTTCATTCCAGAAAGCTGACACTGTGAAGAAGGATGTTACCTTACAAAGATTTCATAATGCCACACACAGGAAACACATGGGCCCATTCGTTAAAAAACGCAAGTTATTGATGGTAAACAGTGAAGAAATATATTTGAAGGACGGGTTAATTGCATGGTTGGTCACTGAGATTACAAAAAACGTTCAAGTTTGGTCACTCTAAATATTTAAATCCACTAGTGGTATTTCAGTTTACTGAAACCGTTCACGTTTGGTCACTCTTCGTCCAACTCCGTTAACTTTAGCTGATGTGGCAGTCAACTCTCAAAGTTGACCGTTAACTTAGTGACGTGGCAATGAAGAAATAATAAATAAAATAAATTTAATCTATTTTAATGTCCAGCTCATTTTTATCATAAAAAATAAAAAAAACTTATAATTATTAATCACCAAATTAAAAGAGGGGCCCGAATCAAATCCTCCTCCTCCCCTACCGACTCCAGATCCGACCCTTTATCCTTCGTCGAAACTCCATCACCACCTCCTCCTACGAGCCGGTCGGCGCCAGAGTTTACTTGAGGATAAGTGGTACGCTTTGGTCCCTGAAACATCACAGTAGAACGCAGAACAGATTTTCCGATTACTGAATCCAAAGGGGAATTACATGAACATGGTTCTTCTCAATCAGACAAATTCGAGCTAAGAATAGAAGGAGTACCTAGAAAATTGGCCTGCACTTCCAGAAATCCGACTAGGATATACCAATACCAAGAAACCTGCAGTTTATGGCGTTTGTGAAGCAGAATGCTGCCGTAAACCGCGGCTAAACTGAAGTAACTGAAGCATCTCTGAGATACGGGCGCATCAAAACCTGTAGTTTTACGATATCAAACTGCAGCCGTTCTATCTTTTTGGGTGAATCGAAGCAATAATAATCGAATAGAGAGCAAGAAAGATCAAAGAGATGTTGATTGAGTGGGTGGGGGTAGCTAGCTCTCTGTTTCAGATTGCAACCCGTCGGATAAACTTAGCATGTGAGACCAAGGTCAGTGGGTTCCAGTCTCATTCTTTTTGTCATTATCGGTCAATCGCGTACTGAAGTTGGGCTCCGGCAGGGGAGCTCCGACGAGGTGGCGGTGATACTGGGCGAGGTGAGCCGAGGTGGACGACGATGGGCCTCGTCGCGAATGTTCTCGTCCGCGGGGCAGCGAGACTTGACAGAGTTGGAGGAAGGGGTGGGGTAGAGGGTGTAGGAGGTGCAGGTGATTACAATCGGGGAGCGGCGGGGACGGGGACAGAGGCAGGGACAGGGAGGGGAGCTAGCTTGTGTTGTTATACCTTTTCTCTAGATCGGTACAGCTAGCTTGGGTAATTAATACTTTCCACTGATCTACATAATCCACAAACATTCATAATAACCAATACGAGTTTCACATGCTAATTTATTGTTCCTATATTGGAAACTAATTATTTCATCATATGCCAAAGATCATCATCTGGGTTTCGTTCGTTGTCTGGGTTTCTTTTGCCGGCCGTGTTTTTTTAACCCTTATTCACCTTTCTCTCGCCGCCGCCGGCGCCGCTGCTAGGTCCACTCCTACTGCCCGCGGCTTCACCAATACTGCGCTCTCCCCTAATCAAGGTACATATATACAGCCACGTACATTAATTAGAAGTTTAGAACGTTTGTGTTCTTATAATTATTTATTTTATTTATTTATTTATTTTATAGTAAAAATGAGTTGGACATTAAAATAGATGAAATTTTATTTTATTTATTATTTCTTAATTGCCACGTCACTAAGTTAACGGTCAACTTTGAGAGTTGACTGCCACATCAGCCAAAGTTAACGGAGTTGGACGGAGAGTGACCAAACGTGAACGGTTTCAGTAAACTGAAGTACCACTAGTGGATTTAAATATTTAGAGTGACCAAACTTGAACGTTTTTTGTAATCTCAGTGACCAACCATGCAATTAACCCTTTGAAGGACCGAAGCATACATTTGTCACCCTAACTACAAAATAACACAATTTCCTTGCGAGGATTGCTATTCGTCGCCCTAAAACTCCTTATTTGTCGCCCTAACTTTCATTAAAATGACTTAAACATCCTTAATTGACCACCACCACTTCGCCCCCTGCCCACTGCGCCGCCACCATTAATCGATTCGCCTCCTGCCACCACCGCATCCTCCTGAACTAATTCATCGTAGTACCAGTTAAATTCCATTTCACTTTTCCCTGCAAATTAGTTGCGTTTTCATATAATCATTAGAATGCATAAATTGGAATGGTAATTGTTGGCTTCTGAAGTTAGCTTCGAATGGTTATGGAAAAATCATGGGTATCTAGGAATTTATAATTCAATCTGTGTGTTTTTGCAGCCCTTCATTGATTGATTCTACAATGAAATGAACTCTAGGGTGGATGATAAAAAGTCGGAAATTGATTGATCTTTGGTGCCCGCCTTTGTGTTTGCAATCTGTATGTTCTTGAATGAATGCTAGAAATGAACCAATGAAATTGCCTGTGTTGGAAAAAGAAACAGCAGCAGAGAGTCGGCCGGCGGCTGGGGAACAACAGCAAGCTGCAAGATTCTTCTTCCTTCTCCTAGGCAGATCAGCGCTCAAACCTTCTACCTCGTGCATTTCTTTCTCCTTCCTCAGCAAAAGCAAGTCGGCGAAGTGGGGGAATGGGAGCGGCGACTGGTTGGGGGAGCAGTAGCGGTGGTCGGACGGTTGGTGGGATGGACAGCAGCAGAGTTATTGATTAGTGATTAAAATTGGGTATAGGGTTATAAATGTGAATTTAGTATGATTTAAGGTGAAATAATTTAAATTTTAGGGCGACAAATAACGATTCAGTTTGCGATATGCATTTGCATATGCCACCTTCCTCCTCCATCCATGCATAAAGGAGAGAAAAAATGAGAGTCAACGCTTTGTTGCATTAAGTTTACCACATGAAACTGATTAAATTAATCAATGGCAGAGTAAGATATCATTGCAGAATAACGATTAACATACTTAAGAATGAATCTTCCCCCAAGTGCTCTGCAACGAGATTCGTGCAAATCTTATGGCTCTTGGAAGCAATCTCCTCAGTTCCACTCCACTTCCACCATTTTTCCCTTTAATTTTTCTCTTCTGGGTCTCGCAGAGCTTCTAGTTTACGATTTCCCAAACTTCTCTCCTTTAATGGCAACATTTGAAGCTGCCTCCATGGATTTCATATCTCCCCCAAGATCAAGTTCAAGGAGCTCTGCATCAACGATTCCTCTTCTGGGTTAGCGCAGGAAATCCTTCCTTTACCCGGGTACGTCGTTTGCTTCTAAAATCCCTTGCTTGTTTGATTGGTTACTGGGAAAATGTGAGATCGAAAATCTCAAGTACACATGCTCTGCTTTTGCCCCTGTTTCGATTCCAAAGGCAGTAACTTCAATCTTAAATTGACCTAACTTTGAATCTGAATATGTGATTAGATTGGGAGATTTTGGTTCCGCAAATGGGGAGGTTCTGTTTCTGCTTTCCGAAATGTAGAGTGGCAAAAATCATGGCATGGCTGCAAATCGTACTCGGAGGGCTAGTGATCCTAGTGAGCTTGGCAAGTCTGTACAAGCTCTACAATGCTGGTTTCTTCCTCCACAACGAAGATATCTGCCGCCATCTCTACACAGGAAGGACCGAATCCTTCAGCGAAGGATTCGACATCAGGGCACTCAAGGATCGTGTAGATGAAGTGCTCGACCAAATGTCTGAACTACAACAAAGCCTCGAGAGGTCGGTCAAACAGATGGACAAAGCTCATCAAGACTTGGGCAAAACCACCATGTCAAAATTGGATCACAAGAGGTTCTTGGAACAACAAGTGATCAAGCCTCTCTACTCTGCCCACATTGCTCTAAGGCAGATCAGGTTCCCGAACCTGGATCCAAACTCTTCGACGATTTCGATCAAGGAGCCTCCTTTGATCAATGCGTTCATCACTGAAGAGATCAGGAAGTACATTACTCCCAAGGAGAACAGGATTGGGAAGATGAACATCTATGGAACCAAGAGTGTTCACAACACGATAGGCCATTCGTGTGCCTTGATGAAGAAGGAACTGGAAGAGTACATGGATTACGACATTGGATCGTACTGTAAAGATGATTGGAACCTTGCTCAGAAGCTGATGGTTGGTGGGTGTGATCCTCTGCCGAGGAGGCGTTGCTTGACAAGAGCGTCCAAGGTGTATAACAAGCCATTCCCTATTAATGACTCCCTGTGGAGAACGCCGGAGGATGGGAATGTGAGATGGAACAATTATCAATGCAGGAACTTTGCTTGCTTGTCCAGCAAGAATCCCAAAAGGGGTTACTCGAAATGCACAGGTAAGGTAGAGATGTTAGTATGATTTCACTTTGTAATTCGGTTGGTGTGGATTGAGTCATTTTGGAATTCAGTATGCCCCTATCTCGTCACAGGTTGTTTTGATATGGAGAAGGAGAAGCTAAAGTGGGTTGTCAACTCATCACTCCCAGTTGATTTCCTGATTAGAGACGTGCTGGCAATCAAGCCTGGCCAACTCCGAATTGGTCTGGATTTCGGCATAGGAACCGGTTCGTTCGCTGCCAGGATGAGGGAACAAAATGTGACCATTGTCTCAACTTCTCTAAACCTTGGAGCTCCATTCAGTGAGACGATTGCTTTGAGAGGGTTGATCCCTCTGTATGTGACACTGAACCAAAGGCTTCCCTTCTTCGACAACACCATGGATTTGATCCATACCACGGGGCTTATTGACGGGTGGATGGATATGCTGCTGCTGGATTTCATACTGTTCGATTGGGATCGAATCCTGAGGCCGGGAGGATTGCTGTGGATCGACAGGTTTTTTTGCCTTAGGAAGGATTTGGATGATTACATGTATATGCTGTTGCAGTTTAGGTATAAGAAACATAGGTGGGCTGTTGTTCCCAAGTCTGAGAGTGAAGTCTATCTCTCTGCCTTGATGGAGAAGCCTCCTAGAGCTATCTGAAAACCATTGACTAAATCTGTTTATGTTCTGTCAATTGTCCATTGTTTGGTAGAGTCTTGCTGTTTTCCTCCCCTCTTATACTTCACAACTCAAATCAAAAGGCTGTTGTGAATCTGAATATCATTAATTGTAGTGTATTGCAAAGCTCTTTCTTGGGTCTGAAACTCTGAATCTTTTATAACCTAGAACTCTTCACATACATTTCATGAATATCCAAAAATTCCATAGGAACAAGCAATTCGAGTATATATTATTGTCGGTGGCTATTAAAAACATAAACCACTCCTCATAGAAGGAACTTTCATCGCATGTCTGCTCTTTCAGTACAGTTTCAGACCCAGTACCGCAACCAACTAAGCAGGAGCTGGAGCATTTCTGGAGTCGTGTGAACTCCTGTGAGACTTGTGCTTTGATTTCTTCTCCCGTTTTTTACTGTTTGCCAGAGGTTAAGAAAACATCAGGAATGGAGCAAGTCAGAAGGTAGTTAATAAACTTTAAGGTATGATTTGAGAGGAAGGGGTTAAAAGACAGTTACTCGTCGTGTGAACCATGTCCCCAACATGACTTCAACTTGCGGTTGATGTGCTTCATATCCCTCTCTGTAGGGAACTTGTACTTCTTTACCTGGAAAAGAACACAATTTCATAAGAAATCTTATTCAAGACATTTCAACTTTGTGTCTGGAATACTTCTCACAATTAAGGAAATGAACTCTATTTCACAATTTTTTTCAGATCGAAGGGATGCCGTAGATGTCTTGTATTTTCTTCCCTAAGTTTTTAGATTATCCAAATACATAAGTTCTGAGATGCATACCCAAGAGTCTATGGAATCTAGAATGTTAATAAGCTCTGGAACTGTGTGCTCGGAGCTCTGACGTAAGAGAATGTTCTGAAGGTAACTGCAAACAAGCACTAAGTCAATAGGGTTGTATTCTTAATCAACTTTTACTGATCATATCAGCATCAGTGAAAAAGATCTCCATTGGGAAAATATACAGAAGGAAATGAAACATAGTTACAAACCTTTCAAAATCAACAACCCCAAGCACCTCGTTTGCATTTCGCAGAGCAGCTAGTGCCAACTGCATTAAATATAGAGAATCGAGATAAGACGGAATATGGGGTTACATGTATTTGCAATAACATGTTCTGAATGATGAACAAATACCTGCCCTGGAGTGAACAAAAGCGGTGCATTGGTAAGCATGATTTTGTCAACCTCGGCTGTTGCACTGTCCTACAAAATCACATATAGACCTGATTAAAAGAATGAGCACGATAATGGCTGTTGTAATAATAATAAGCTGGCTGTAAATGTGTGTGATTACCTTGAACATCTGAATTTGGTCCTCTGCCGCATGGGAAGAATCCTACGGAAGAGACGGTAACACTACCAGCAGTAAGAAATTAATTAAACTGAAATTGATATAATTTCCAATGTGTCAATACAAACTTGAAACTTCTACAGGAAAGCGAAGAAAAAAAAATTAGTGTTTGCACCAAGGGGATTAGAAACATAAGTGCACCAAACCTTACCTCAATATCATGTATAAAACCTTCGACTGGACGGTAAGGTGCATAAACAATAAGGTCAAATTCCAAACTCTGCATCGCAAAGATGAATTTTAACTAAAAATTCATGGATAGTAAGTAACCAAAGCTGGAATAATAATAAATAAATAAATAAATAAATAAGCAGTAACTCATGCCTGAAGAACTATCATCTCATAATTCAGTATCATTTGATGATCCTGTGAAATCCCCTTACCAAGCTCCTCAGCTGATACATGATTTTCTTCTATCTTACATGCTGAATATATGCATGTTAACCTTCACATATGCAATGCCATTGGTAAGATTGATATATATCAGCAAACAACAGAAATGGTATGGCTGCAAAATAGAGAGCGTCCCCAATACTGCAGGAAGTAAGCCACACTAAAAGAAACCCCACCACGGGACTAGGCCATGAAGGTTTTCAAGATAGCACCTAAACCATCATGGTCTTTCTACCAACCATTAGATAGTTTAGCATCTACTACCGAATTCACTCTGCAACGTTAAGGGGAAAGTTCGAATGAAATCGAAGTGGATCCATACATTATGTGCTTGGGATCATGTTCCATGACAGACCATTGAAGATAAAACCTCTTGAAATATGTAAGTGCTGTTGCCTGCAAAACACAAACAAAACCCCCCACTTAAGTTGTCTGGGCATACTAATAATTCTGCATTGCATCGATGCCAATCTCCGGCTTCCATAGCAGAACTCTCCATACCTGAATTTTATGAGGAAAGTAGAAGGCGCCACATACTTCGCGAAGCTTAAACTCATAATATACACGCATAAACTCTTCTTCCTCGCAACTAAGGGATTTCGGACGAGAATGCTTATCACCTGCCAAAGCCGTAGTTGAACTCATCAGAAAAAGCCCAATAGCATGTGCGTCTACTAATAAACCCACCGAGAAGGGGATGCACTAACTGTTTTCTGTAGCTTGAGGTTCAGGGTAAGTCACTGACCCATCAGCATCTACTTCCATTTTTGTAGTTCCACACTTCAAATAGAACCCAACAAACAGACAAACAAACAAACAAGAACAAATTAGCATAAGCATTAGTTCCATGGCAAACCAACTACATAACTCAGTCTAACAGGAAAGGTCATAGCTACTACACACCTTCTCCAGCATTTGCTTGGCCCTTTGGTTCGTGGTCCTGTACTTGTCAACCTTAAATCAAAACAGGGAAACGACCCATTACAGGAAGAGGGGAAAAAGCAAAAACCTAAAAATCCGTTCGCATTGTAAAGCTTCATTCCGCCATTGAAACTACATAATTTCAAGTAATCTACCGACTCAGGCAAACAACATATCTCATATCAAGTTTGTAAGAAGAAAATGCCTCGGAGGAGGAAGAAAGGTTACTACTCACTAGCTGTTGAGGAGTGAAGATCCACTTGGCGCGGTGAGTCGAGGTCTGGAAATCCGCCATGGCAGGAAACTCGGATTGACAAGGGAACTTCTCGTGCCTCGGGAGGAAAGAGAGATTCGAAACGCCTTCTTCACCGGAGACCAGGGCGTGTGGAGGATGTCAAATTTCCACCTCTTGCCGGCGGATTCCCAAAGAGAAAGATTTGCGGCGCTACTCCGACGGGGAATGATCGAAGAACCGGTGAAGGTTACGGCGGGAATTTGGGTTTAAGAGTATTTCTTGAAGCCCATTATGGATTAGTAAATCCGAGAACATTGGTTAGGGCCTTGTTCCAGGCCCAGCCCACTTAAGCAGGAAAAAGTCCAGCAAAAGAAAGCCCCTGTTGCCGGCCCTATCCATCCCTCCCATTTTCTTGGTGGAAGAAAATAAAACGTGGCAGTGGCGGGTACACAAACCATTCACCGCGCCAAAGGTTCCTCGCCGACGCAGTAAACGCCGTTCAATGAAGCGACGTCGTTTAGTAAGCGAATCTCAAACACAAAAGTTCAACCAAATCAAAACCCTCCACAAGAAGAAAGCCGAAGGCCCGAAGCGTTAAAATCATCGATCTATCAAGAAAAGGGAAAGAGGAAGCTGGAAATTTCCCCCAATCGGAGCTCCGATGGATCACTACAAGGTGCTGGGACTTAATCGGAGCGCGACAAAGTCGGAGGTAAAGGAAGCCTTCCGGCGGCTGGCTGTCCAATTCCACCCGGACAAACATTCCCAATCCTCCAGCCAAGTGAGAGACAGCGCAGCTCACCGATTCAAGCAGATCTCCGAGGCATACCAGATCCTCATCGACGATCGGAAGCGCGCCGATTACAACGTCCGCCGCTCCACCGCCCAACCCCACGGCGGCGGCGGATACGCCGGCAGCAAGTACCACTACAACAACCGGTCATCGTCTTCTTCTTCGTCGTCGTATAATTCATACGACGGTGGTGCGCGGCGGAGGAGCAGCAGCGGAGTGTCGATGCTGGAGGTCGCGATCCGGTTCATGACGACGAGGGCGTTCCTGCTGAACGTGGCGTTCGCCGGATGTATGTTGGGCGGCGCGAAAATGATCGACGGCGGCGGCGAGAGGATGTGGAAGCGGTGGAATTCGGGGAAATCGTTCGAGGAAGCGATTGATTCGATCGAGAAGGCCAAATCGCGGCAACGGCGAGGGCCTGAAGACGATGATTGAATTGGGGGGAAGGGAACTTAATTGAGTTTACATTTATTTACGTGTATAATTTAATCAACTTTGGAATATCGTTGGACTTTGAGAATCCATTTCATCGTTTTGATACAATTAACCGTCATTTGTGGAGATTGAAACTGTATGTAAGGGAAATGGCTCAGCAAAAGGAGGTTCAGTGGCGATTTTGGGGAAGGGAAGGCAGCTAGGGGGTGTACATGGGTCGGGTGGGTCGGGTTTGAACCATTTAAGTCACCCGTTGTATAGACTATGGTTTGAACAATGTCAAACCCAAACCCACCCACTAATATAAAAAACGTTGTCGGTTTGCTTCGGGTTGGGTCGGTTTAATTTGGACCATGCATCCATAGAAAACCAACCCAATACAAGATATCACCTGCTTCAATTTAGTAAAATTTTGTCATTCTCCTGTTTCACTTTTTCCTTCAATTTAACAAAGACACATCTGTAAGTTATAGCAACAATACATAATTCATAATAAACTAGACATCCTCCTCCAAATAGTATCTTCATTACATCATTCCTATTAGAACACATAAAAGGAGACTAAATAAACATCAACTGCTGTTTGCATCGCAAAAACCTGGCAATTTTAGCAGCCAATACTAAAAGAGTTTAATACTCTTCCATCATCAGAAGAATGTTGCATTTACAAAATTACATGATATCTTCCCGTCTTCAATTAAACTATACAGCAGCATCTTCACTTAAGCTTTACAGCAGCAGCAATGTTAATGTACAAAAGAGCTCCTACAAAATTGTGTAAAGCAACATATATATTAGTATTAGTAAATGAACGAACTTGAATAAAAGTTCTATAAAATTAAACCATCTAATCACCATTTACTATCTAGGCATCAATAATAAGTCCATCATCTTCAGTCAATATGAATGGACTTGAATCCAAGAAGTCTGGCAGAAAAGGGAAATGGTTAGCTACTTCAAAATGAAAAGTAGTCAATGTAAGGAAATAACTCAAAAAAATCAGCACATTACCATTAGCTTGATCTTCATTTGGATCTGAAAGAGCATCGAGTGGAACAGCCTCTGAGTCATTTATAAGTGGCTTTGAACGCAACCAATTTTGAGTACACACAAGTGCCTCAACCATTCTTGGAGCAAGACTTGTTCTAGAAGGGTCTACAATGCGCCCACTAGTGCTGAAAGTTGACTCACTTGCCACAGTTGACACCGGAACAACTAATACATCTCGTGCTACTTGAGCAAGAATGGGATAGATTGATGAGTTAACTTTCCACCACAATAATATATCAAATTCATCCTTCAATTTCTCACAAGGTTCTGCTAAATACTTGGCACACTCTGATTTTCCTCCAGAACTGTCCTTTTCTTCCATTGCTCTTGCAAATCTTAATTGTCTCAACTTTGCTGGATCCTTTTCAGCCCCAACAAAACTAGTAGTAGAATCTGATCCTCCTTCACTAACAACCCCTTTCTCCTTACCACTACTTCCAGAATCAACCAAATACTGATCATACAAACGGTTTAACACCTTTTCCACATTGTTAGTAAGTTGTTTAGCATGAGCTTCATTGTACAAATCCTCAAAGCAGTACTTGACATACCGAAGCTTATATCTAGGGTCTAAAACAACAGCCACATACAACAATGGATTAAGATTTTCAACATTCACCCAGTATTTCATAAACTTTGACATCATCCGAATGGACATGTCTCTGAGCATAGCATCATCACTTGATGACAAATGAACCATTTCATCTTGCAAAGCAATTAACTCGTGAAAGAACAAGTTTGAAGTTACACTCAATGTGCTGGAAAATTTCAAGGTCACCATATAAAATAGCTCAAGAAATTTCAGCAAGCACCTAGCTTTATCAAAGTCATCATCCATTGGTGGTCCTAATAACTTGTTCTTTTTCTTCCCCTTTCCCCTTGTATTTCCTACTCCATTTCCATCATCAGCCCCACCATCAATCTCCTCATCACCACCATTAAAGTACCCTAAGTACTTAGAATCTTCATCAGTCATCCTTGCAAATGCTTTTTCAAACTGTTCAGCTGCTCTCAACATCACATATGTTGAATTCCATCTAGTTTCAACATCAAGACCAACTAATCCTTTGAATTTTATCTTTTCCATCTCAATGCAACTCTTAAAAATCAATAGTCTTGCTGGAGAAGACCGAACATACCTTACAGCATTTCTAATTTTAATGACTGAATCATCCAATTCTTTCATTCCCTCTTGTAAAATCAAATTCAAGATGTGAGCAGAACACCTAAGGTGCAAAAATTCATGCTTTAATACTGTTCCACCAGTATTTTTACTTCTTCTCACAATGTACTTGATGGCACTATCATTAGTGCTCGCATTGTCAACTGTTATAGTGAATATCTTATGAATACCCCACCCTTTCAAACAACCCTCAATTGCTTGTCCTATAGTTTCACCCTTATGATTAGCAATTGTGCAAAGATTCAGAATTCTTTTATGGAGTATCCATTCATTGTCTATCCAATGTGCTGTAAGACACATGTAGTTAAGATTCTGATTTGAAGACCAAGTGTCTGTTGTTAGGCACACTCTTTGAGTCTTTATCACTCTTTTTAACTTCTGTTTTTCAGCTTCAAATAATGCCAAACAATCTCTACTAATTGTAACTCTAGAAGGTATAATAAATTCTGGACGCAAAGCCCTAGAATACCTTCTAAACCCTTCCTTTTCCACATCTCTGAATGTTTTTTCATCTGTGATTACCATCCTAGCCAGCTCTTTTCTACAAATTTCAGCATCATATCCTAATGCTTTAAGCCCACCAATACCTCCCCCACTCTTTGGCTCAAAACACAATGTCTTCTGTTTCTTATCATTCTCATATAAAGGGCACTTTGTGCATTGTTTTTGGAGATGAGTCCATAAATTACTAGTTCCATGCATTTGTTTATCAGCGGCATAAGACTTCCCACAGTAATTACAAGCTGCTCTAGCAGTTTTCTGCTTTTTACTTGTTGGAGTCCAAGTGAAGTGGCCCCAAATTTCAGACTGAATAGATGGCTGGCTACTAACCTGAACTTTAGTTCTTTTCATCTTTTGAGGCTTAGGAGGAAGGGACGTACCAGCTTTTGCACCCGCTGCAACATCATTGTCATTTCCTTTATTTTGAGGTAGAATAGTGCCAACAACAGCAGAATTCGGTTCGATTTCACCCCTACTCTCTGTAGCAGTAGCTATGTCCCCTTCATTCATGGTAGGAACCTCTCTATCCATCTGTATAATAAATAAAAACACTATATATTAGATCAATCTTAATCTAAGAGGTAAAAGAATGAAAGGGTTGACTGGAGAAATTAGGGGAAGAAAGTGCATACAACTCAACAATGAGTTGGTAATCCTAGAGATTACAGGACAAAGTAACAAATATTGCCCACAAAACACTAGGTTTGGGGGGATTGGTTTGTTCGGCCCACAAAGAGATAGCAGCAGCCGACAACATATACATCCCTTGCCCCCACAACTTCCCTAAGTCATGCTTTTTTCACTAATGATTTACACTACACTTTCACAAAGGCAGTTCAGTAAGATTCTAGCAATTTTGAGCAAATCCTGATGGGATCTCACAGCAACAAACTTCTGTCAGTATGCCTAATGGTAATCGGTAGGGGAGAACAATAACAAATCAGAGTAACATCATGTAACAGAACGCCAAAGCAGCAACCTTAGCCGGCTCAAATTCTTAATTCGTGAAAGAAAGAACAAAACCCTAAAATAGCACAGTCTCGACCACCTTGGAACGAGTTGAAATCAACTCCTGCTATCACGCCTGAGCGGTCGTGCCCGCACAGGTTCTACTGAGATGGCCGATGGCCTTCAATCTTTAGCCTTCAGTGATGGTTGCCTTTGGTTGGAGAAGAAGCAGGGGAAAAGAAATTGAGAAGGCGATTATAGAGTTAAGCTTCCATGATGATTGTTGAGTAGCATAAAGCTATTAATGATGGACCAGGTGATGTTTGGTGGTGGATGGGGGCATTTCTAGTCACTGATCGTGGATTATTGGAGGTTGGAGGTTTGGCGGCAGAGAGCTTCCTCAAGCTCGAAAGATGAAGAGGAAAAGAAACCCTAGATTTTAGGTCAACCTCTCTTTATATACATACACAAAATTAAAAGTCGGGTCGGATCGGGTTTGACGGGTTTCGCCACCCCAAATCCGGATCCAATCAGATATATATATATCCCCCACACACAAGCCCTTTATCCGCCACTTAACCTCCAATTTTTACTAATTTCCGGGTGGGTCGGGTTGGATCGGCTGGGTGGGTCGGGTTTCGGGTGGTTTTGTTCACCCCTAAAGGCAGCAGCACATCAGATGGTCCGGAATTCCGGATCCTTTGCAGATGGGAGGAAACCGGAGTTTGGTTCGACCGGCCACCCATTTTTATTTTTCCCCAATTACTTGTTTCGTCCCTTCCCACCAACAACTGAAAACCCTTCAAGTCGAGCTTCGACTCTTCCCATCTTCCCGCTGCGCCGCTGCCATCCGCCCGCCGACGTCCCCGACCGTCCGGCGTGTGCATTTGTGGATTGTGCTATTTGGATATGCAGACAGATGCAGGGGCTTGATGGAAGTGAAAATAGACAAAACAGTAGCTGCTGTGTTTTTTTTTCATGAATTTTTTGCGGTTAGTTCACGGTTAATTGTCGGTTAGATTGCTTAACCGCGATTTCGTATACTGTTTCGGTTGTTGCGGTTTTTACAACCATAAACCGCGGTTCACCGCTAACCGCGTTATGCGGTTTTTGGTTAACCGCTAACCGTGAGGGACGCGGTCGCGGTTGGCTAATATGGGTGTTTTGCGGTTGCAGTTAACCGCAAATTGCGGTGCAGTTAACCGCAACCGCACCGTTTCCCACCCCTAAACCGTAATGCCTCTTCTCATAACTAAATAATTAACTAGTGTGGCATCGGCCAGTTGGCCGGAGGAAGGTAAAGTATGAAATTAACTAA